TAGACTTTTAATCAATTATCGTTACTTACATATTTATTGGTAGTTATTCTTATCTTTCATGACTCTACTTTTTAGAGTAATATTTTAGAATATATTTTTTCTACTTTTTAGAACATATTTAGTTCTGAACTTGTTATCTCGAAAACGTGCTATTTCGAAAATTTTTTAGCGTCTTTTGAACTTTTAGATATCGAGAGTATACTGTATAATGTTTCAGTGCAGAAAAATATTATATAACTTATGTATTTTATATTTTGTCTTGTCATTAGTATAACTTGGTTAGTTTTTTTTAAATATATATATAACCGTCGTTGAACAGCTGACCCAATTTTTGGGTTCACGACTATGTTCAACTCCGTAGCCATGTCATTTTGAACCCAATCTAGAAGACAAGGGAATTCCTGTATCGAGTATTGGGTGAAATTTACCTTCGTGGGGGACTTTTTGGATGGAACTAACCCGCATTTGCGTTACATGGAGCGGAAGACCGCGAGAACCTCCCACGGTTAGCCTGACGTAAAGGAGACTCTTACCCATGATCCGTCTACCACTGAGGATATTTCACGTCATCACTGTGGTCGGTGGATTGGTATCTGCCAGCCATCGCCGGGATTCGAGCCCTGTTCACCTCATTGGAAGATAAACGCTTTATCCCCTGAGGTATAGCGGTTCAACTTGGTTAGTTTGGCAAAAACCCCGAGATTATAGTTTGCAAAAGAATTATACTTTTAATTTTTTTAGGACTCTTTACTACGGGAGTAATTTTTTGTGGTAAATTCTATTTTATCTCTATTGTTCAGGCAAACCTAGTGTAAACCATGAAGTTTTAAACGCTGCAGTAAAGAAATTAGAAAAGAACGCTGCAGAAAAGAAAATTATGCAGTAAAGAAATCTCACCTAAATTTTATTTATATTTTGATATTTTTAAAGCATTTTTTCAGCATTTGAAAGTTTTCATGATTTATTTAAGGTTTACCTAAACTCTAAATTTAAAATTTCAAGATACCTATGAAGATGAAAAGGAATTTGCAATGAAAAGTTTTTCCCCATGGTTTAGCGCCTTCTTAACAATGAAAACACCTGGATATCAATGAGAATTTATCCAGACAAACAAATGTAATTTTATCATCACAGCGGCGAAATAAAAAATTATAACATTAAGAACGAATTCGAATTACCACCTGGTAAACTTGTGATCACGCTTACTAACTTTCTCTTTTTCTGTGACCTCTAGGTCACGCTCTTTAGAGCTGCGAATCTGATACATAAGTTCGATACCGGCACGCGCGCACGAATTAAATGCGTAATTTGTGCATTGGCAACCTTTCGGAATCGATTTTCTTAGTATTATTTTTATAATATTAGAATGAACACATGTGGCTATGAAAATTAACGCCAATCAATTTGTCGAGAATAAAAAGAAGTGGAAAATGTGCGCGCACGTGCCGAAATCACGCCAACTCATGATTGCTAAACAATGTGTGGGATTTATGATTTTCGGTTTACGTTTTCTGCATGAGAAAGGCTTTTTTTTTTCTTTTTTTACTGGAAAACAAATTACTTTTGATTTAGTAACGAATTTTCATTTTGTTGGCCTCAACAATAATTGGATTTGCTTTAAATTATAATATTTAGTAACCAACTGTAAATAATTCGAGAATATTTCAAATTTTATAAGGATTTGATTGTAAGAACATCAACTAAATATTACAATAGTTTTTGTAAAGTAAAACAAAGACAACCGAATAAATTGAAGGTAAATATAAATTAATTACAATATGGCAATAATAAAAACGTATGTATCAGAGTTAGGAAAATATTATTATTTTTAATAATAAAAGTCACAATTCTGAAAAAGCGAAAAGCATTTATGATCTAACACTTTTAATATTTAAAAAGTCACACCGACATTGCATTGTATGGATATTGCACTCATAAAAATCACCAAAAACTGAGACTGTACGACATTGATTTTAATAGCATTCATCTTGATGGAAAAATTTCTTCTAATTCGCAATTTCTTGTAGATTTTTACAACTTTAAAAATATTTAAGTTATTCGTCCGTTCTAAATTCCAGATAATGCTTTGAGACAATTATTTATATAAAGATAGGATATTATAGTAAAAACCAGAACAAAATAATAAAAATGTACAGTTTTTGTAAAATACAGCAAACAGAGTTTAATAAATTGGTTGAAAGTAAGCACAAATTTAACGGCAATATGCAAACAAGACAAGCACGTATTAGGCTCGAAATAATTTTAACATGCTCTACCAGGCAAGTTAGTGTATAGAACACACTCCCTAATGATAGTTTTTCCCTCCCAAATGTCGTTTTTCGAATGCATAGTAATAAAAACATTCGTTGTAACCAAATGACTGTAACTATTCACTTAAGGAAACTTATTCTGACTTATTTTCAGCGATTTTTAACCTTTCAACGTGGTTTTGCGTCCCCCATTTCCTATGTTAAGCTTTGTCATTTATCATCACTCTCAATTGGTTGGTCACAAGTCTGGTTAATAGGACGTTTTCTACTTGTCAGAAAATAGTAATCTGTACTGTTACTGATACTATTTAACTTTTGGGAAAAAACTTGGTAGGGCGTTGGGGTCGAGTCCCTACCAAGCCTGGTTGGATTAAATGGTAACTGGTGCACGTTAAATCAGTCGGGGTCACAAAGTCCTCAATTTTCCCACAACAAATCAATACCTCTGGGTGAGCCGTGATGTCTCAGGAAATAGAGCATTCGCCGTTCTATGAAGTGAACCGGATTCGAATCCCAGCTATAGCTGGTAGATAAGAATTCCGCATCCGACTTGCACCTATCACAGTGCTGCTGTAATATATCCTCAATGGTAGACGGATCGTGGGTTAAAGTCCCTTGCCGTCTGACTAACAGTGGTATGTTTTCGTGGTTTTATTCCCATGTAACACAAATGTTCCATCAAAAAGTCCTCCAGCGAGACAAATTTCAATCGTCAGTTTATCGTCAAAACGACAAAATCAGACGGAATTTATTATCAATCAAAATTCCAACCACTTTCCGATTTGCTAGAATGCTCAAATTTTAACTGAATGTTTATGATGAATGACAATACTAGTTACAATCGCTACGAATATTTATCTCCGTTTTAACTCTAAGCGAAATTCTGAATCGGACATAAAAATACTGCTGACATAAAACTACATAATAATAATAAAATAAAAATAATTTAAAAATTAAGGTTTTTAATTATGTTAGAAAAAAGAAAATAATTTTATTTTTGTTGCACCTATTACAAAAAACATGGAGCATCACTTTGTTCTTAACTTCTACTACCATCGAATATCATGCATATTTATATATATAATTCATCGTCATATTAATATATCGACAGAATGAACCGGGGGGCTGTTCGATATCGCAGAATGAAGCAATTTGGTGATCATAGCAGCTGGCTAGAATGAATTTTCGTAGCAATCATTTGATATCAAACTTGTGTCACGTGCCCGAAGGGTGGACAGTTTGCATGACCTAATGGTTACAGTTATCTCGTGCTGTCTAGGGTCCGCATCTTGTGAATTGATTGACCGCTATAATTGCTACTCAATCATTAAAGCTTTTGCAAGTTTATAATTTTGGTTCTATTTCATTATCGTTTGGATTCTGCATATATCGATTTCTTTGCACATTCATTTAAATAGCTATTTAAATTAAATGATATTACGAACTAGAAAAGTTTTAATGATATTTATGCCGTACGAAAACCATTTGATTGTCATTCTGTTCATCGATTTGAGGACAGTTTCCTCTGTTATTTTAATGTCATTAAAATAAATCCACTCGTTTCTGTCATTAAGTCTAGTCTTTAATGCTTGGCTGTAATTGCGCGTAATTGATGCGCAACCACCGACTGAAAAACCAATTGTTTGAAACGAAAATGTATCTTCCATAAAAATACATTCCTGACAAATAAAATAAAAAACTGATAATCAGAATTCGGGCATCATAAGCAATTAAAGTGCGCAATTTATTCTTACTATGTAAAGAAAATGCATAATTGCACTTAAAGTTAAAAAATTTGCTATCATTTTACTATTTTGGGGTATAATATTGATTTACATATATTTTTAATAACCTTGTTCAGTGAAAAGTCCTATGCTCCGTTTTACCTACGTTAATACAAATAAACACGAATTTTAGCGAGAATTTTAAGAAAGTATAAAGTATCAAATTTTACATTGGTCAATATTCGCGCTACCCAAATAAAATTTATAAATACTCAAAATGATATTGTAGTTAATAATTATCGTTATTCGCGGCATTATCTCTTTGGTACTTCACGAGATCAATAATGATCGTAATAATGCCGTATTCGATAATGATAGTTATAATGATGACTGTATTTTTTATTTTATATTTTATAACGTTGAACAGTCGACCCGATTCCGAGTCGACTATCAATGTTCACCTCCTTAACCTCGTAAGTTTGACCTCAACCCAGAAGTCAAGGGAACTCCTGAATCTTGTATTGCGAGAAAATTTGCCTTCGTGGAGAACTTTTTGATGTAACTAAGAAAGTCGTAACCCAATTTTTGGGTTCACGACTACGAATGTTCAACTACGTAGCCATGTAATTTGAACCCAACCCAGAGGGCAAGAGAACTCCTGGATCAGGTATTGGGAGAAGTTTGCCTTCACGGAGGACTTTTCGATGGAACTAACCCGAATTTGCGTTACAGATAGTGGAAAACCCCGAAAATCTTCCGAGGTTAGCTTGATTTCATGGGAACCCTAACCCAGTGTTCATCTACCACTGAGGATAGTGCGTCGGTGACAGCCGGGAGCAAAATTCATATCAACCCACCATCGCTGGCATTCGAACCTAGGTCACCTCATTAAGAAGCGAACACTCCATTTCCTACTAATATAAATATTGAGATTATTACTAAATAATTTATGCACGAATAATATATGATTATAAATTAATATTTATACTGATAATTCGCTTTACAGGTATGGTGTTGATTTAAACGGTGCCCGACGGAAAAACGCAACCAGAGAAACGACGAGCACGCTTAAAGCGTGGCTCAACGAACACCGTAAGAACCCTTATCCGACGAAAGGTGAGAAGATCATGCTGGCCATCATCACCAAAATGACTCTGACACAAGTGTCAACGTGGTTTGCAAATGCTCGTAGAAGACTCAAAAAAGAGAACAAAATGACCTGGTCTCCTAGAAACAGGTGTGAAGACGACGATCTAGACGATCGAGACGAAGCCGATCAGAGGATAAAAGAGTCCGATGGTAAAAGATCCGATAAAGATTCCGATGTAGATCGGAGGAGGGACGATCATCACCATCCTAGGCAAGGTAGGCCATCAAAACTACTTGTTCTCATACATGTTACATCTTAAATCTCGAAAGCCGTTAATATGCACTCTAGTAAATTTCCTATCACGCTTCTCAAATCAAAATAGAATAATTAAATTTTTTACTAAAGAAATTTGTATCCTTAATGAACATTTTCAACATTTATAGCAGTTCTTTTTACTTATGAGTTCGATGTAAGCCATAATTCAGCTTATGTTTATACATCAAACTAGATATAACGCAAGGCCTGAAAAATCAACTGCCAGACATAAAACCTAACTTAAGATTATCATGAATAAAAAGGATAAATATTCTTTATTCCTCTTATAAAATATTTTAAAAATAGTCTTTTACAGGTTACGACGTTCGCAATTACCTTAATTTTAATTATAAAGTCGGGGTTCAGTCGGAAGGCTGATTATTTACGTTTCCGTAGATGTAAATAATTGGGAACCGTCGCTCTTTTAGGTAATAAGAAACTACATCATAAAAATTTAATGACTAATTTATATTTATTCAACAATATGATCAATTTTATAACTAACACAAGACAAGTTAATATAAGTAGCAATAATAATTATTTATTAATGAGTATGTACAATACACTTAGAGCAAATATTTTACAAATCAAATAATTTTTGCAAATAAATAGCAAGGACAACAAATTAATTTATCTTAATTATATGCTTTTAAATTGTAAGCTTTTCCTTTCAAAACTTTCATTGATAACGGCAATTAAATGCGATGGAAACCTCCTATTGAAGAGAAAGAAATTTGCATTCTACATTGCAAAAGACTTGCTACGAATACGAAATATCTCCATTATTTGCCTATATTTAGTTTGGCTTTCTCGCCAATATTCATAAGTCCATTAAAATATTCCATTCGGTGGTTTTTAAAATTATAAAATGGAGGCAGAAAAGTCTTCCTTCCCCCCTCCCTTTGCGTTTGTGTTCCGTTGAATTGAGTATTCAATAAAGTCAATAGTCTCCCTCTCTCATGCAAAAGGATGCTGAAGATGCATCCTCTTATAATCCCCCTCCAGTGATGCTCTGGAATAATCCTATGCACACTTGCCTTTTGGGACTGTGTCTCTACCGCAACCAATCGTTGCTCCAGAGAGATGACCCTCCCCGCGTGGGGGGAAAGAGATGGAAGAGGGTCACGTGACACACTTTTCAGATTTTTCCCACCTTCCACCGTATGCTCTTCTTTCCAAGAAACGTGTCGCCATCTTTGTCCGCTTCTTACTCTCTTTATCCGACGGATTCTTCTTCTTTTTTTAAAGATGTCCAGCAACAACTCGAATATTCGAACACTTCTTTTTTCGAATGTTCAAACTATTCTTCGAACGCGAGATGTTAAAAAGGGTTGTTTGGAGAGGATTTTGTTCATTTTTTAAAATGTGAAAACCGACCTGTAAATATAATTTGTTCTGAGATTTTCGCAATGACTGCCGATTATATAAAAGAATATATAATTTTTTTTTTTCGTTTAAATAAAATGAAACAAAAAGTTTATTTTCCAGCTTTGATCAGTCATTATTGGATTCAANACATTTCTTTTTTCGAATGTGCAAACTATTCTTCGAACGCGAGATATTAAAAAGGGTTGTTTGGAGAGGATTTTGTTCTTTTTTTAAAATGTGAAAGCCGACCTGTAAATATAATTTATTCTGAGATTTTCGCAATGACTGCCGATTATATAAAAGAATATATAATTTTTTTTTCGTTTAAATAAAATGAAACAAAAAGTTTATTTTCCAGCTTTGACCAGTCATTATTGGATTCAATAAAAGCGAAGCACGGATTAAAACAATCTAATACCGATTTGTTTGAGGATCATGCATAAAAATCCCATGAATAAAAAATCTATTGCATGCATGTTTAAATATAAAAGTATTGCATATAAACTTGTGCAAAGCATGCAATTATTAAAACACTACAGTGTGTCGAATAATTCGGTCTAGTTATTGTAATATACTAATATAATACCTGATATAATAAATGTTCTATGTTTATATAACATATCTAATTTATCCAATCGTAGAATTTATATTATATATTGTCTAATTTAACCAATTGACACACGAACGTAAGCAAGTGCAAACCGGTTTCAGTCGCGTAAAAGCAATAAAGCTGTATAGTAATCACCTGATAATTATGATTTTACATAGATTCTTATAGTGCGTCTAATAATTTGACCAGGATATGTAAATGACTATCATATAACTCAAATTTGCATCGAATTCGATTGAACTTTTGTATTTGAAATTAAATTTCAGATATGGCATTAAACAATCGTGTTTCCTGGACAAGGAAGAGGGAAGGAAAAAAAAGTCGTTCCACTGTAACCGCGATAAAAATATCGTATTTATCAATAGAGCCGTCAAATTTCACAAAAAACACGCCATTTTGGGTAGATTTAGTGGTGATTCTACGATGCGTTTGTTGTTTACAACGATATATTTTTTCGCACATCTTTTACTATGGAAAATAAATAACCCAGAACTGCTTTTTCTAAGCGTGGGGCTTCACTGATTTTTATATTTCCTGTTCGGACTACTGAATTTAACAACAGATCTTAAAAAAAAAGATCTACAAGAATCAGGAAGACAGTAAATTTTATATTATAGACATTTTGACGCATTTCTCTTACATAAAAAGCGTGGGTTACCACATTAGGATTTACTTGTACCATGGAGTTTTATTTTTGGTACATGCCTTGTCGTGTTTATGTTTAGAACGAAATTTACTTCTGCGCTATTATTATTATTTTTTTTTATTTTAGCATTGAGTGCAGTTAAGTTTATAATAAACACAGTAATGTCGGTTATCTATTTAGAAGAAATATTGTTTTTTTTGGTCGTGATTGTGATTTGAGATTATTATGGCTTTTATTTTATGTATTTCACGAAGATGTTTGAAAAAGAATATATAGGTTGTCCCATAAATATGGGTGCAAACTTTACGAGGACGCAAAGGCAATTCCTAAGGATTGAGAATTGCAATCGAAGGCCGGAAATAAGTCCCTACAAGCGCTTCTCTATATAAATTTTGTATGGTTATCCCCTACGTTTTTGAACTGATATATTTATCTTATAGATCTTAATTTTACGCTTTCTTATAATTATTATATTAAAAAAATGAATTCTAAAAAATTGAATAACAGTTGTTTTATCATAATTTAATGAATTTGCGACTAACTTAACTCTAATGACGATTTTGGTGACTCTCAGATGAGTTGATTTGGCGATCAACTTGGCTCCCCAGTTAGTCACCAAAAGAATTAATTTACGATAAAACAGCAGCTTCTGAACAATTTTGACGCAATTTTTGCTAATAATTATGGGGAAGCATGAAATTATGATAATTTAAATAAAAAATATACCAATTTACAGGCGTACAAGCAGAAAGTTCATAAAAAATAAGAGCCTCTAGTGGCATGTGATGATATTGCCGGCATCGGCTTGATATGCAATTGTCAATCCTTATAATATTGTACTACCTCCCTTCGCCTTCCAATGGGGTGAACCAGGTTCGAATCCCCAGCGATGGCTGGTCGAAACGAATAAGCATCCGGCTTGCACCGACCACAGTGCTGACGTGAAATATCTTCAGTGGTAGACGGATCTGAGTTAGAATCCCTTTGCCTTTAGGCTAAAAGTGGGAGGTTCTCGTGGTTTTCCTCTCCATGTAACGCAAATGCGAGTTAGTTCCATTAATAATTCTTTCACAATGGCTAATTTCTCCCAATACTTCATCTAGTAGTTCCCTTGTCTTCTGGATTGGGTTTAAAATTACGAGGCTACGGAGTGGAACATTAGTAGCCGTAAGCTCAAAATCGGGTCGGCTGTTCAACGACTGTTATAAAATAAAGCATTTATGAGATATATCGGTAGTTTTATTTAATTTGAAATGAGGCTGAGCCGAGATTGCATCACGAAATAATTTGTTCTCATTAAATTTACAAAACAAAGCATTCTCATTTTCTCATTTTCCTACTTTGAGAACATTAAAAATCAAATGGTTCTTTTCATTTTTTGTCATTGTAAGTGATGCAAGTTTGTAATGCTGAGCATTCACATTAAATTTTATATTGCATCAATTATCAAATTCTCCGTTCAAAATGTTCTCTCTCAAAGTTAATTCCAGTTGAACAGTTCAATATTTCCCTTACATTTAATTTTTCCAAGAATGATTTTAACTCTGCTTTGTTGGGTGGTTGATAAGAGAGTTTTATTTCCGTAATCTGTAGATGATGATTATTCGGATGAATACACCTTATCCATTCGTCACCCCTCACTGAGATGAAAATTCGGATCCAGAAAGGGATGGGGTAACCACCAACCATGACCACAACTGAGGGAAGCTGCAATTTTATGCGGGGTTGAAGACTGATCTTTAATGCCTATTTTGATCTCTTCCCCACCCCCCTTTCCGCATGCATTAGTGTGGCCGATGTTACAAATGCAAGATCCATCCAATTTTCTGAAACTATCAAGGAAAAAAAAAATCCTAATGACTATCAGAGAAAAGAGAAATGATGTCAGGGGGCCCACGATAGCGCAGTTGGTACGGCACTGGGCCCTTGTCCAAGAGTTCGTGGGTTTGATCCCAAGCCGGCCGACGACTCTCCGTGTTGTAAATGGTGACTGATACACGTTAAATCTGTCGTGTCGCTAAGTCCTCCATGTTCTCATAACAAATCAAAACATCTGGGAGGTACTGATCCAGGAGTCTCCTTGTCTTTTGGATTGGTTCAAAATGACAAGGCTACGGCGTAGTACATTAGTAGTCGTAAACCCAAAAAATTGGGTCGGCTGTTCAACGACAGATCCTCAGTGGTAGACGGATCATGGGTTAGAGTCCCTCATCCGTCAGGCTAACCGTGGGAGGTTCACGTGACGTTCCTCTCCATGTAACGAAATGCTGGTTAGCTCAATCAAAAAGTCCACCACGACTGCAGATTTCTCCCAATGCTCGATCCAGAAGCTCCCTTGTCTTCTGGATTGGATTTAACAATACGGAGTTTAACATTAGCAGTCGTAAACCCATAAAATTGGGTCGGCTGTTCAACGACGGTTATAAAATGAAATATATACGTCAGGGAAGCGGTTAATGACTATTTTTTTAATGTTGTGTAAGTTAGATGGTAGTAATGCAAGTTTTTTTTTCCATTGCAGGTTCCGACGATGGTAAGATGGATTTCGTGGACGTGGATGATGACTGCAAGTCGTGTGCATCTACGAGTACAGACGGCCACATCATCACAAACAGCTCCGACAAAGAGAACTGTTCCCTCCTGAAGACGCATCGTGTACCAAGTCCTATCTCTGATGCCTCATTGGGATCAGAAGACTCTGAATCCTCGCAGAATTCTTCACTACCCCACCCAGCTTCGACAGAACTACCACCACAAAGTAGCCAGCAGCAAAAACCTCGAATATGGTCCATTGTGGACACGGCTACGTCAACACAAGGGCCGAGTTCGTCTGCTCTACCGCCTGGTGCTTCTTCCAGACTGAGTCCTCTTCAGAGAGCAGCCTACCTCAGCCCCTACCCTAAGCCGGCCTCTTGGTACGCCGGGACTCTTGGCAACCTCAGTGTTGTGACCAGTGTCGGAGGATCCTTTCCTCTGTCGGCCGTTTACTCGTGTCCCCCGATCGGTGGTGCAGCCCCATCCATGGTCGAATCTTCTGCAGTGTCCTCACTGAATAGATTACGGACAGCTGCAGCGGCCTTTCCGACTGCTGCCACACCCGGTGAACTTTCCCTTCACAAAGCAGCAGTTGCCGCTGCTGTCGTCACTGGATCGTCGTCTCCTCCCTCAGTGTTCAACCTAACCTCCAAACTGAGCAACAACTCTCTGCAACCTGCAAGTGAGCAACCTCACACTCCTGGTGGATCCAGGTCATCGTCAAGTGGCTCAGCGGCGGCCATTGCGGCGATGTCGGGTAGCACTGTCATAAGCGCTGGACCGACACAAGGTCGTGTTTTATCATAATGCGCGACTGATATCACAAGATACTGGGACGGTAACTATTTCTTGCAAATTTTAGACGCAAAACCGGTGGATCATTTTAATTGGAGGAATCCTTAAAAGAAAAAAACAAATTCAAACTGATGAGGCATAGATTGAAATCCTTTTGATTCTATGTGGTTCCTAATAACAATGTGTAATTCTATGGCAGTTCATTATTTCCTTTACTTTATCTGAAACCCTCACCATATGATTTGCTATGAATGACGTGCAATTTTTTTTTCTTCGAGCAGCAAATCTTTTTTTTATAAGAAACTACATTGGCTTACCACGTTGTTTTCACTTGGGAGTCAATTAAAGATGTGCCATTTTACCCCCCGAATAGTGAGAAACAACTAAAAAAAGGAATATTTCTACACCGAATCTGGAAACCAATGAACTATTTCTAAACACAAAATCGAGTAATCCAGTTCCAAAGAGAAACTTCGAAATTCCTTCAAGTATTGTAATGCTATTGTAAATAAATACAGTTTTTTTTAATGAACTACGAATTATGTCAGCGCGGAAAAAAAAACATTTTTCTCCTTACAAATTCCGCCCTTGAAAGATATCAAGAGATTTATTTATGGACAATGATGGGTGGTAAATCATAATTATTTCTGTAAACTATCAACTTTTATTTTAAATGGAAAGTTAAAAAGTTCCTCAACGGTGTTAAGAGTGTGTGTGGAAAAAAAAACTGGTTCAAATTAGAATTCACCAGTGGATTCCTCAAAAATTCACTCGTCAATTCATGAGAATTCACACCCTTCTATACAGTATAAAAAAGCCAAACATCTTCCTATGCATAGAACTTGATTCATTTTCCGTGAGGCGGCGCTTTTGTAAAACCAAAGCATGTACATAGTTTATATAAATAGATAAATATATGTGTACAAAAAAAAATATGTTGTTTCGACGCCGCTGGGTGGACAGACCCTTGTAAGAGACCAGCAGGACCTGGAGTTTAATTTATTTCTTGACCAAGAATGTAAGATCTATAGTGATAAGAGAATGTTTGGGATTCGCTGAAAGCTCCATAAAAAAAAACTTTCTGTTGTCCCTCCCCCGAATTTTGGAGTTGCCATTTCTCTGTTGTCTATAACATACTCTGTTTATGTATCAATAAATGCAAAATGTTTCCTTTATGCTTGTTTCTTTTTTTTCTTTTTAAATTGTGATCTATAGAAAATGCTACTGACTGTATATTCCAAGAAAATTTGATACAACAAGCCTCGATATCACTTTCTGCATCAGGCTTTTTTCTTCATTACTAATTTAAAATTTAAAAGAAAGAAAAAAGTAAGTTCAGGCAAACCTGGAGAAAGTCATGAAGTGTCAATTGCTGAAGAAAAAAGAACTTTAAAATATTAAAATGCAAGCAAATTATGAGAAGAGAACTTCTCCGTGCGTAATCCTAAGTTATAATCTCATAATTTATTTTCATTTGCATATTTAAAATAATATTTTTTTCTTCAGTATTTGAAATTTTACGGCTTATTCTAGGTTTGTTTTAACTCCCTTTTTCTAAGCATAAGACAACAACATATTTGGCACTTTTCCTTCTTTATAGTTAAAAGTTTTACAAACTTTTATCGCCAACTCAAAAAAAATTCTGTTAATGATGTATCAATAAACTTTTATTTACACATGAATTTACAGAAAATATTTTGATTTAGTTTTTCTTTTTCCTTCTTTTTTTTTTACTTAAATAAAAGTGATGTTGGCCTATTCTACTAATGTTAATTCCAAAACCATTTTCTTTGAATATACAGAATATCACACTACAGAAAATTCTGAGTTTTACGTAACATTTCACACGCTCCTCTAAGTTTTAAAGTAAGTACTCATGTGCTAATGTCTGTGAAGTATGCACTATTAACTCCAAAAAAGTAATAAAATTGTTAAGGGACATGCGCAGTTGCTTCGCAATTTACGTAAGGGAATGTGTCGGATGATACGTAAAACAGGCAAAATTTCTCTATTCTACCAGATGTATTAAAGTAGTTAAATGAGTTATAACTTATATATGTTAACAATAAAAGAATTAAATGTACGCAATTCCCTCAATTATTAGGTAACTCATATTTTTGAACAGTTTTGTTAAGTCATATTAGTTAATCTACAGAACTGCCAACTTTCTCAGCCTCTAGCCGAAAATATTCCCAAATTATTTAACCCACTGAAAGCAAGGAGTCCCTTTAAAAAGGTCGATTCTCCTTCAAATATTTTATTTTTATTCCGAAATATTTGTTAGTTATTTAAAAAGATAAATAAATTGCGTCCATATAATTTTCCGTAGGTTAACAAGAAAGGATTTTCATCAAAAGTGTCGAGAATTTAAAATATAATAGTTCATAGTTCATAGAGATCATCGCAGGCTAACTTCAGAGCTCTCCATAAATCGTTTTCTTTCTTTTCTTTTTTTAAATCTCTAGTCTACTCAAGTTCAAGACTTACGTGGTCTAATACGATACCTCAAAATTTGCAACGATAAATGCCAAATAAGATATAATACTGATATTAATTATTTCCGAAAGATGAATTCATTATACAAGGAGGATCTTCTCCCTGTTCGCTCCGTTCACCACCCCCCGTAATTGTTTCTTTCCCTTTAAACGTCGACATTTTACCCAAAAACAAAGAACATTTTGTTAACAAAATAGACAATTATTGTAGTCTTATGCAAGAATATTTTGTTAATTTTTAAACGTAACGAAACTCACCGCGTTATGAAAAATAATTATCTGTACTTTAGAAGGGAAAAAAATTGTACAGATTGCGACTCAATTGTAAGAAATTAATGAGAAGTAATTTTATTTTATGGAACTTATAACAGTCCAAATAGAACTTATAACTTATAACAGTCCAATTATATATATCTTTCAATAACATTTTTTTTTTTTAAATTTAAAAATTTCAACCAGTAATTTCTCTCTTTTTTTGTTACCTTTGACATTAAGTGCAAGTAATAATCTAAATGAATATCTTGAAAGCTAATTTTTTTAACAATGAATAAACAATCAAAAGTAAAAAAAAGGAGAAAAAAAAAGCATTTGAAATTTCAATAGCCTTCAAGGCAAAGAAGTGTAATATATATATATATATTAACNTTTATTTTAATGGGATGAACTACTAAAAAGTGTTTTACCTAATCTAATAACGTAAAGCTAACGTAATTCATAAAAAGATGGAAATGAATTTAAAAAATGCAATTTCTTTAGCTTCCTTTATAAATAGCAATACCGCTTACAACGATTACGCAGAAATAGGTATTTCTTTTAACAGTTATAAGACAGGAAACAGCATATAATTATAAATTATTAAGACTTTTTTAATGTCTTTTGTTAAAAATAGTAATGCAATAATGGTGAAGATAATGGAATGGATTGGTGTAATTACAAGACAAGTCTTTACAAATTCATCAAGAGTCAAATAAGTCAATAGGTTTGCACATAGAGTAGAGGGCTGATTTAACGTTTATATTTTGATCTTACAGCAATTGTAACAGCTATAATATCTACAGTTAAAAATGCATTGCAATTAAAAAAATGGACCTGCGTTGTTATGAAACTGGGCCCATTTGTTTAAATCAGACAACTTTTAAATCGTCACATAGCATTGGACTGCATATTATTACATGGAATAATAATTTTCCGTTTAAAAGGGAGCAACACATCTATGGACATTGCATAATTGTATATCTGCAAGGGAAGGTGCACGTGCAATCGTGGCATTTGTTTATGCTACGATTCAGTATAAAATCGGGTTCAACCAACACCTCCTAGAAGAAGGAGGTATTTTCTAGGAGGTATTGGTTAAACACACGAGCTCGACGTCGCTTGCAGGATCCTATTAAATCTGATCAGAAAACTGATTTAGCGTGATAATAAACCTAGCCTAATAACTGTAACGTTGACACTTCACGCACAACCACGTGATTATACACTAAAATGTTATTTCAGCAGTATTTTTCTACAGTTGAAAGCACCCAATTAAGGCAACAATGTTTTTAAGTTAGCCGTATTTTACAATGGGGTACCTGTAAGCGACGTAGTGTGTGTATCTCGTTCCTGATTGGTTGTTGAAACGTGGCATTTGCTTACGTTAGCAACTTTTCGTTTCCTTCTATTTTGAGTAAACCAAGCCCGTCAAGTATCAATTCTCTTAAGTGACACATTCTAAACTCTTTCACAAAGATTCTTTCTCAAAGATTTCAATTCCTTCACTATCTATTTACACAGAGGCTTTACACAGAGACAGACACGAAGCCATATGAAACATAAACAAACTAATTACGCATCGAAGTTGATAGGTACACAAAATGAAAATATATCACAGTTACACAGAAATACATGAAAAAAATAATAAATCTAAGTTAAGTAAAAGACATGAAATAATTATATTTCAAGTAATTCGATGTGCGATACGGCTCTGATTTTAATTTACTTATCGTTAATTAACATTCTAACTTGTGTAGAAAAACTTGCACTACTTTAATGCGCCCTTTTGCTGATAAAGATTAGCTAGCTCTGATGTCATAGGTTACGTGTGTGGGTATGGGAGATCCTTATGTTAAAAACTATATTAACTTTATATTATAACTTTATATTCAAAAATAGACTTTTAAAAGAGACTTCTTGAAAAAAGTATTTTTTTTAAAAATTGAATCATCGAGTCAGAAAATAGTTAAATCCCATAAAAAAAATACATTCTAGAGTACTTATTTCCGAACTTAACGGTTCAATTAGATTTTTTCCCTGAACGGTACATTAAAAGAGTTTGTAGATTTGAAGAAAAAAATCGTTCTTTATATTCGTGAAGTCAAAACTTTGTGTTTATATTGTATTTAAATAAATTTCCAATCAGGGAATAAAGGAAAAAATATCTAGATACGTTGATCCACTGAACTTGTGTCTAGCGCTTAGTATTTTTTTGACCCCTCCCCTCGCGCTTGAACTATTAATACTTAAATCACAATTTTTGACCTACACTTTCTATGAATGATTAAATATGGTACGAAATGCATATTCATTAAGCACAAAACGAGACTTTATTTTGCATCAATGTAAGTCAATTTAGGTACTCAATCCTTATATGTGTAGAATTAACAATAGACTCGATATATTTTAATTTTATTTAATAACCGTCGTTGAACAGCTGACCCAATTTTTGGATTTATGTCTACTAATGTTCACTACGTAGCCTTGTCATTTTGAACCCTTTCCAGAAGACAACCGGAACTCCTGTATCAAGTATAGGTAGAAATTCGCCTTCCTGGAGGGCTTTTTGATGGAACTAATCAGCATTTGCGTTACATGGAGAGGAAGTCCACGAGATCCTCCCACTGTTAGCCCGACGGCAAGGGGACTCTAACCCATGATCCACTGAGGATATTTCACGTCATCACTGTGGTCAATGCAAGCCGGATGCGGAAATAGTATCGACCAGCCATCGCTAGGATTTGAACCCGGTTCACCTCATTAGAAGGCGAGAGCTCTATCCCCTGATCCATCGCGGTTCAGTAGACTCGATATAAAATTAGGCGGTAAACCCGATGTTATACAGATTCATGTAGCAAAACCGATGTGTGCAGATTTAATAGTAAACCCGATGTCTATAGATTTAGGTACCAAACTCGATGTTTACATATAAGCGGGACAAACTCGGAGAGTGTAAATTTAGGTATTTTTTGTTAAGCAAAAAAAAAAGCTTTTTCAACAATAATAAAAACTGCAAAAATGCTTGATTTAAATCATTCGATCATAAACCATTTAAAGAGAAACAAATATTAAAATAATAAGAATAATAAGAGAAACATATGAAACTAATATGAAAAATAATAAGTTTATACTAATTTCTAGAAAATGCATGATAATTGTGTTTGCATAAAAATAGCAATAGAAAAAAAAATAATCGAAGCAACTTAAAAATAATTTTAAAGTAAAACATCACTTTTAATGGATGATCTAAATAAATATTGCTTTTGCCACTTCAGAACTTAGAAAGAAAGGAAATGATTTATTTCAAAATTGTCGAATGTTTCAAATAAAACAAGTTTTATATTAATCTGTATCTCCAAAGAATGAAATATAAACAAGGACAGTAACAAAGATTCATTTCATAAAAATAATAAAGGCTTTTAATT